TTTCCCCAATTGGTTTCATAAGGACCCTATAGACTTAAAGGGTTCCAAAGGCCAACCAAGTAATGATTCCCTGGCACGAAACAAGCCTGATTCTTTGGTATCGGTAGGGGAAGGCGATTTCACAGCCTCAGAAGCCAAGCCAACCAGTTCAAATCTACAAGGTTCCTGAAAGTAATTTTCAAGTTCTGTTACCTAGAATCCTAATATTTAACTGAAATTCTAATTTCTACTGGGGTTCCAAATCCCTTAGGGAAATCAGCTTACACGTAGTCATTGGTTCCTGGATTGGAACTCGACTAATGATGCTGAAGGCTAAAGCACCCCTTTCGTGCCTGGACACGAACCCGCGGGCGGATGGTAGACGAAGAATCAAGACATGAAACCTAAAGTAATGGCCTAAGACCAATGTTCCGCACTTCTACTTATAGTCCCCCTTAAGTAGATAGGATATGGCTTTGGGTATATTATCATAAGATCCCCATATACCCCATATTCTATCTACTTAAGGGGGACTATACCACCAGGAAGTTTGAAAATGCATAGAGGTGATCAGCGATTTTGGTTCCCCAACCCCTGAAATGCAGAATCAGACGGAGAAGAAGATGATTGAGACTGAAGCGGGTTGTGTGCGGACTTGTCTCAGGTAATGAGCGGATTTTGCTAACCCAACCCCTGAGATGGAGAATTGGGTAGAGAAGAGAGATGGAAACTGGGCTTACCTGGGGCATGTGTAAGGGCTGGTCGTAGACAATCAGCTGATGCTGTGACCCCGACATCTGTCATAAAGTGAAAGCCAAATGCAGAGCTTTGGGTGCTTCTTCACATTGTTTAAAAGAGTCTTGCTTTCAATCTGCACATGTATGTATACCCTGGATGTTCTGGGGCGTTTTGGTTGTCACTTCTCCCAGCAACACAGGGCTCCTAGCGCTTATATATACTAATAATTTTCAAAAGGATCCAAAGGCCAACCAAGAGTAAGGGCCCTAAAGCCCTAAACCCCTAAANNAACCCTAAACCCTTGGGGCTTAGGGTCCCAGGGATTCGGGGCTAAAAAGCTGACAGGTCGCTGTCATCCCTTCGCGAGCTATCCGAGAGGCGATGGAAACTTGGTCACATTATGGGTTTAGGGGTTTAGGGTTTAGGGGTGTAGGGTTTAGGCTTTAGTTTAGGGTTTAGGGTTTAGGTGTTTAGAGGTTTAGGGTTTAGGGGTGTAGGATTCAGGGTTTAGGGGTGTAGGATTTAGGGTTTAGGGTTTAGGCTTCTCCACAGAAGCAGGGCGCCACGCGATGCATGATGGGGTCGGTTCATGCACCCATTCATTTTCTTGAAGTGTGTGCAGTCTTTCCTTTGATAGACATATGGTAAGCGCCAGTTCAGTAGCGATTTCATAGAGATATTGTAATCCCCGATACATGGTCGCAGTGTTTTATATCAAGAACAGAATCTTACTTGGTCCAGCCACCCCTAACGAAAGTATCCCAAGAATAAGGGGTCTCGAATCATATACCCCCGCCACCTCCATCCCTCCATCTAACCCGACCCTTATTGCAACAGCCCCTGAAAACGCAGCTGAAGAGTTGACACCTGAATAAGACCGCACGGGCCGGTACGACATGAAACCACCGCTCAAGAGTCCCGTTGTTCAGCTTTCAGAGCTGCCGGCAAAAACAGGGTATTTAGGGTTTAGGGTTGGACCTCATACAAGAGGAATCCCCTCATCACGCTCCTTTGGATTTGACCCTAAACCCTAAACCCTAAACCCATGGGCGTTTGCAAATTCTTGAACGGGCGGATGGTTCATTGCTGAGGCTGGCATCTCTTGAAGCTGTTGCGATAGAGGAGGCGCTTTGTTATCCCTAAGGGTCCATGTACCCAATAATTAGGTACTTGGGACTTGGGTAATAGTAATTATAGTACAGGTTTTGGGTAAGTATATGATTATTAGGTACTTGGACCCTTAGGGTATTGTAGTTCTTGAAAGATCAAACCCAGTTGGGAATGGGGGATGGGCTTATGAGCTTATAAGGTCTCGTGCCGGGAGTTACATGGAGATTGCTTTCGGGATCCTTCCCTTCATTTCCTAGTTACTACCTGAACCCCAACAGTAGGCAAGATAACTCAGAACTCCAAAACATAGCGCAAAAGGCTATAAATTATTCTACATACTTTTAATTAGGGTTCAGGTAAGGATCGGGTAATTGTTTCGGAGTAGCTGTCCTTCTTCAGCTTTCGGACAAGCCTCAAGACATTCTGGCTGAAGGTAGCAAAGCACAGCTGCGATTGCTTCCTTCTGCCCCCAGTCCGCCCATAGCGCGTTGCTCACATGCTTCAACCCCAGTACGTTGTCAAATGCAAACGAGGTTTTATTCGAAAACCTAGATTCCGTAATATTATAAACGCATCAAGAACCGGACGGGCCCGAGAGCCAGCATGCCCATCGCTTCGCACAGTGCATGTTGCAGCCTCGAATGCTGACAGACTAGTAGGGAACGGAGGCATGAATCCCTGCACGAATCTTCAGTCCCTACACGAATCTTAATCCCGATCAAGGGCCCAGTATCGTATTCGCCCCATTCCCATGAGCCCAGTAGCCAGCCAGCTTCATGTCTCCTCCTGCTTCAGCAAGCCTTCTGGAGGCCTCATGTTAGGAGACCTTTGGGGATCTAAGAGAGCCTTGGAATGCTGCAGGGAGACCTTACTTGGAGGGTCAGGGGGACTTACTAAGTAGGTTAATAACCCTTTATAATCCAGATAGTAACCCCAATTATCCCCATTATTAACCTACTTTACCAAGTCCTCATGACCCTCCAAGTAGGGGTCCTTCGCGATGGGTCCTTTGATGCATATCAGGTGCCCTTATAAGGTTCCCTAAATTTTCTTGACCAAGGCACAAACATCTGCTTCTGCCCGCGGAGCGGGCTCAAGGCGGAGGCCCTTAGAGCAGTTTAGGCTGTGGGGTGTCGGATTACAGGGTTTCGGGTTTTAGGATTCCAGGGTTTATAGGGCTCACTGTAGGGTTCAGCACCTGGGGGGCTTACAAAGCCGTAAAGCCGAGGGAGGCTTACGGAAATTGGAAAAGCAAGTGTGGATAAATCGACGGAAGCTGGGTGGCTTCACAGGGATATTGACGATATATGGGTGGTTGTCAAAATTATGGTCCCTTTTTGAGTCCCCATTATAATACGGCCCCTAATATTTAGGGTACCCAAAAAGGGACCATAATTTTGACAACCACCCATATCGAGTTTGGGGTCAATTTTTAACTTGCTCCCTAGGCCCTAAGGTTTAGGGTTTAGGGTTTAGGGGAGTGGAGAATGAAAGAAGGGCAGGAACTATCAACCCCGAGGGTAATAGACTCCCAACACAGTGAACCCTACGCACAGAACCCTTACATTGTAGGAAAGCCGCATGTAGCAGCTCGACTTGTTGTTGATGTTTTTATGAAAGGCGCCCGGAACATGAACTTCTTAGCGTTCAGGGCACGTG